TTATAGGCTACCAGATTTTCACAGTTGTAGCGTCACATCGTGTGCCTCCAGTACAACTTTCAGATCGTTATAATATGCTCGTTTGATAAATTGCAGTTTGTGTAGGAATAAAGAGACTTTTTCAGAACAACTTCTGCGGTTATTCTTTCATGTAACAGGCACGGAACGAAAACATCTGGGCGGGACATCTGGACTAGAACACTTCGAGATGATTTAAAACCTTATAATGTTGTGTAACATTTGAAAATATATTACGTTGAAACGTGTACATTTGTATCAGTATAAAGTAAAATAAAAAAAAATATGTAAAATAAAGACCGTATTAAACAAAGACATATATCAGTTTAGTACAACATTACGAGTTCAAATATTTTTCCACGATTAATCCGTGTCAATATTGAAGATACTATCGTTAGAATATAACACATTTGACGGAAAGGATGGCTTTTGTAACTTGTCTCATTCAGAATTAATTTATTTTTTCGTCAATCTGATACTCTAGTTCTGCAGAACATAAAAAAAATTAATGAAAAGAGAAATAAAGATACCAAGAAGCAAATGGCACAAGAAAGGGAGAAAGAGGAATGAGAAGGGAAAGTTTTGAATTGTTGCGGAGAAATTGAGGGAGTGGGACAGGAGAAAAACAGGTATAAGGTAGGTGCAGACAATAACGCCACGTTTTCAACAACGGCAATTTGTCTGTGCGAACGTGTGTTACGTGCTAGACGACAGGTGGTGATAGTGTCTAAGGTACTCGCTGAATGGTGCGATATAATTCGCGAGACCTACAAACAGACTCCAATGTTTTAACAGCTGTTTATACTTCACGCGATGTGTGTAGCTGCTGGTACTGTAAATCAACGGAGAAAAATCTCCGTTCTGTACTTTCTAGTTTCTTTCGTAATGAATTTTTATAATTCGATAGCGAATTTTTTAGCGGTAGCTTCCGTGGACTGCTTCTTGTTCAGTATTCGTAAGTGTTACAGAGCTTCTCTTCTTACAAAAATTTTGTACTTTTGTACGTACAACAACGCAAACTTTAGGATTTACTATTGAACAATTATAAAAAGAAATTTCGTCCTGTTATTCTGGCTGCAACTTTACTTTTAGATTTTTAAAAAAAGAGATTTGATTTTAAGGTGGCGTTTTGATTAATTTATATTATTTATAATTACTGTGACTTCATATTAATTTGTTTCCCTACCTATCGACCGTTTTCAAAGACTTCGATTAAAATATCATACTTTAATTTGCGTACATGTATATGTTATTATTTGACATACAATGTGTCGTAACATTTGTACATTTCTCTCATGATTCTCGTAAAAGTTTCTTGGATACCATTACAAAGTATTTTCACGATTATACACCGACTTTGTTATGATACTTTGTTATGACATTGCCCACTGTCTGTTTATTTATTAGAAATATAAAATTACGTAATATACTTGAGGTAAGTATGTGCCAAATAATGGATACCAACTTTACATAACGGGTCCCGCAAAGTATGCATATTCTTACCTGAAGACGGGAACAATGTCGATCTTGGACACGTAGTAGACTTTATATTTGCAATAGGTAAAGTCTAACCAGTGCCATAATATTAACCTTATATGCTTAATGGGACGTTGAGTTTTACAGTGTAAACACGAACAAAACCGAATGACCGAGTTTTCAAAGCCTACACCCGGAGACCCCTGCTTCTGCTTGTTAATTGAAAGCTGCAGTGATTTCAGCTGCCTTCTCCCCGTCCAAATATGCGATTTATATTTAAAAGCTTTCAAGATAGATGGGGAAAATTTAAATTGAAGAACAGAAAGTGCATTAATTTATCCTGGGCTCCTTGACGTTTAAGTGATGCATAATATTGTTTGGGCCAAATGAAGTACGATCGGGAAATATGATCCCCGAAGTTGAGTAATAAAAATTGTAGTGGTGGAAGAATGGGATCTAGTGTCATTTAAAATCGCTTTAGATTATGTGAACGTCATACAATGTACATATAACACAATTTTCTTTTATAATTTAATATGATACAGTTAAAGTCGATTAACATCATGGTAAAAATTGGTATCAAAATAAAGATGAGGTCACAGACAACACAGTTGTGAGTGCACAAAATATTGGTGGGTGCACTCGTTTCTGCTGGAATACGATCCATTCTCTTTGTCCTCGTTTGAAGATAAATGTAAATTGGAAGTTGAAAACAAAGTGTCATGATAAACGTGAAACCAACAAAATCATTATTGAAGTTTTTACCAACCACCACTGCCATGAGGAAACCCGTAATTTCGAGGAGCAGTGGTAAAGTTATTGGAAGCAAGATAAATAAGGAAAATAATTTAATGAGCGTATTTATTATGTTGTTTGTACTCTTCACTTAATGAAAGGATGTTTAGGATTACAGAAAGGCACTGACGTGTAACACGTATTAATGACTTAAAAAAACTCGTACTAAATTTTAGGGAAAATCCCAAGGAAGACCTATATGAAGAAGGAAAATAATATTCAAATTAGCCTTAAATAAACCCAACTTGGGAGTTAGAGTGCTTTGGATAGGACTTTGCGAAAACTGTACTGGACTTCGTTGCCTGTGTAAGATCAAAATTTATTGATCTGGTGAGGAATTATGAACTTTTAAGAAAGACCCTGCTTCACCTCTGAAACGTCGGTAAACTTTCAACAGGCTACACCGCGCAACAAGCCAGAAGACAGACATTTCCATCTTCTTACGTTGTACTGGATAAATATAGAGTTATTTTCTTTCTAAAGGTTTAAATTGATAAAATAATTCGGGTATATAAAGAAGACTTGTACTGTTAGGTATTAAGGAGAAGAAACAAGGAACTGCGTGATTTATTATTCCATTTATTCGCCATTTTACAGGGTATTTACTTCTATGTACCTGAGACAAACCTTGCTCTTGAGGTACATAGTGCAGCAGCTATTTCTGAAATACATTTTGTTTCTTAATATGTGTTACATGCATTATACAAGATGATTCAAAAGGTTAGGGCCAAACTGAAGGAGCGTATAGAGGGACTCAGAGAGAACAACTTTCGAATAGGAATCCATGTCCTCCGAAGTTATCCTGAGTCAGTCAAGGCCATTGAAGTTAGGGGTACACCAGTCACTATCAACTCACACACACAATGTAAACAGCCCAGGGGCCTCTGTAGAATCTGACGTGATACGTGTGATTCAAAATTAAGCCAGTAGGAGAATGGGAAAGTACGATTATTTCAGCGGTATGTTATCAGCCTTCCCTACCTTCAATGACCTCGACTGACTCAGGATAACTTCGGAGGCCATGGATTCCTATTTGAAAGTTGTTCTCTCCGAGTCCCTCTATACGCTCCTTCAGTTTGGCCCTAACCTTTTGAATCACCCTGTATAGATTTTGTGTGAGGCTTTATTATATATTTTACATCAGCGTCTTTCGAATGATGTATGATGTTCCTAGAATGGCGGTTTTCTGAAGTCCCTCAATGTCGTGTTCGCCCGGGATACCTAAAATGAGGAGATCTGGCGCAGATGGGTGATTACGTATGTCTGAAGGTAATAGGATCCAAGTATGTGGCTGAGGACAGGGATCGGTGTCAGCTTATGTGAACACGATAATGACTCTTACGTTTCCGATAAGGCGAGGAATTTCTTGATAAGTATTGCGACTGTTAGCAATGGAGGTGGTTAGACACCCAACTGTGATGGAGAAAACAAGATGCACATTCAGAACGCAACCACTCGAAATTTTGAGAGGCAGACTGAGGGTAACTTCAAAGTGATAGTCAGAAAAATATTTTTTGAGATTGGAAGGAGATTGAATTGGGTCAGGACTTATGTTACTTTATGGTGGTCCTTGGGTTTCGGCTGCGCTGCGAACTTGGTCGAGTCTATCCAAAGAAAGGCTCAACTCAAGGGGTATGTGAGTCAGTTTGCTGATATCTGTGTCGAGTTTGTAGACTTTATATATTAGCAAGCATAAAAACATAAGTTCTTAATATACCGGTTACAATGTATTGTTAAAGTAAATACATTTCAAATAGAAATATTTCAGTTAATGAATCAGCAATAAAAGTTAGATATGTTCTGTATAATAATAGCCTGTCTTATGGTAATTAAATATTAAATTTCCTATAAGATTTTTAACAACTTTGCCACTGCCTCTCACGTTGCTCCTGACATTGGAGTTCGTTATTTTACTAACCATACCCATTCGTGATCGGAAAGTTTCCAGACTCGTATCTATCTTACCCTCCGTGAACCTCTTGCACCGTTCAAAGGCTATTATAAAATAGTAGCTCAGTGTTGTATACTAACCAATTTGTTTGTCAGTTACACGGACTGACAACGTAGAATACGCTTCAATTGTGCGCTGAAGGTCTGTGCTAAAGGTTTCCTCAGCCTAGTAGAGCAATGTAATGACTTATACTCCAGAGCGAAATAAAAGAGCAGGCGATCAAAGGATTGAATTTTGTGGGCTTTGCTACCATGGCGAATTGAATCTGCTCAAAGCCGTTATACGTATATTCTGAGTTAGGCTTCGAAGCCTTGGATGGATGAGTCAAGACGAGGATTGGTAGCTGATGAATGAATCTAGGAGACTTCAGGGTGTGAGCGTAGGTACGAGCCAGCTTGAAAATATTTAGCTCATCGTCTTCAAAATGAAATTGTTGTAAAAACTTTTAACATCGAACCATATCGATCCCAGTGTCAGTGCTGTATTGGTGTTAGGTGGATCAGCAAAGAAATTTTGTTGACATTTAAAATGTAACATATTTTAAAAATGTAATACAAACACTCAAGAATGTCATATAGAACCGAAGGTTTCCTCTGGGACTGTGATTTGTTGTGTTTCTCCTGGAGTCCTAGGATGTGTATGAATTATGTTGTGTTAGTCGTTTGTAGTTTTTCATGGGGTGTAGCTGAATGTGTGTGATGTTGTGAACTACAGAATTGAAGTCTCCGTAACAATTGTCAGTCAAATGGTATTTATCACGGACTCAGGCTGTAGGATGACACGATTATTAAAATTATATGTGCTCCGAGAGGAGAGAAAAGATGCGAACAGGCCAAATAGTAAGTATAAATACCAAATTAATGTGTAAATCTTTGGATTAATTCTAAACACAATTTTTTTTTGATGAAGAATTTGTACCACTACTACTATAAATGACGAAATGTTAATGTTAATGATGTTCTGTCTGACGTAGTGACGGAAATGCACAGTTACTGAACCTAAATTCGTTAAGATTTATGACAGTCAAAATTTGTGATATAATTATTAATAAAGAATTTTAAACCTTGAATTTTTATTTGAACCATTTGCAAGTCATGATTTAAGGGCTCTCACGTATTCTTGCAGAAGACGTAGTTGTGTAGGATTTGAGGTTCCCGCGGATATCAGTCTGAAGATTGCTGTCTTCTGGGTTGTTGCGTCTTGTATTCTGGTAGACGTTTACCAATGTTTCAGAGGTCTTTGCTGCCTCCATCATTGCCCTGAAGATGGAGGCAGCAAGGACTTTTGAAATGTTGATAACTTCTACCAGACTTCACGGCGTAACAACACAGAAGACAGCCATCTTGAGACGGAATTGTGGTTAAAAGAAATTCAACACAAATTTTAAAAGACTTGTGTGAATACCGATAACTCTTTGCTGTAAGAACATAATTAGTTATACTAAACATAAATTAATGCAACATAATCACCTCTTTTGTGTTCGTAAAACCCAGACATTCCTCAAAATTGTCACAGGAATTTATGATTCACGATTTATTCAGTACATGGTCAGATAATTTATAGTCCTATATTATTTATGAAGGAAAGGAAAGTTTTAATTACAAAGGCATATTTTATTCCGTAATTAAAAACCTAGCATGAGGGAGTCCTTTGAAAGCTTTTTTGTGTTCCCTTCAGCTGTTATTAGCCATAGCAGTCGAGGTGACATGAAGTTTGAGTGGCTGGACGAGGAAACAACGAATTCTGTCCAGCAAAAGCAAACAATTCAGTAGGAAATTTCTTTGTTTTCGCCTTCGTTGATTGATGGTTTTGCCCATGGCTATATGTGAAAATTTCCTCGTTAATGACCCCAACGAAAATAACAAATATAAATTTTTCCTTACACTTAACTACGCCAGGAAAACGTGTGGGGAATTTGAACGAACGCTTCACGTGTTTTTACCTCGACACAATATGGAGGTAAGAGGTTAACTTTGCGCTCCGGCTACTAATTTCCGGGGAAAGAGCCACGTGTTCCAGTTAGATAGAAGGCAAAGTGGGCTGGGTTAAGTGGCGAAGAAAACATTGTAAAGTAAAGAATAATTCTTTTTACAAACGTTACAGGTCTAAATCCTGCGTCACCAGGATGCGGTATTGTAGAACTGGGTAGTGTGTTTTTCCCAATGTGGATATTAGGGTTCTATCATAAAGCATTCCTAGTGGAAATTATATTTATTCCAGTACAGATGTAATAGTAATACCACCATATCTCGAACGCCAAAGCCTCGTTAATTACCAGAAAGTTTATACTGAATTGGTATTAACACACCTGAAACTGTATATTTACATATTAGCCACCTTTAATACGTTATTTCATGCATCTGTTTTATCTCTTTCGTCATGTGGCATAATTTTACATGTTAAAATAATTGTTTTTAATTTTATCTTACACGAGGCACGTTCCTTGTTTTTGTAAGTTGATTTTTGTCTCGTCCGTTTGTGGCTATATGCAAGTTTTCCCCCCTCTTGTGACTGATCGATTATTCTGAGCAAATTCATTTTGACATTGTCTCTTCCACTATGTAAACTTGATGACACAATTTCTAGGCGAGTTAGAAGTGTGAGTGTTTTTGTAAAATGAAAAAAATCCTAATACGACGTCGAGTAGAATGAATACCAGCAGTGTTCATAAGGAAATACCGAAAGAATTGATCCAGTTGTGAAATTTATTGAACAACACAAATTAAAACAAACGACCCATTTAGAAGCATAAACAGTAATAGAACTCCTACACGTTTCAAAGCCTATAAGAGAGAATGGTTCTTAGGGAGGAATTTGTAAAGACGAGAATAGCACAATATACCTTTGTTACTTCAGATTTACGAGAGAAGTAGCAGGTAAATGGGGGAATAGATACTAAGAATTGGTAGCCAGTAGTGTTAATGCGCTGGGGCAAGACACAGACGTATATGAGAAATAATGACCTTCCTCGTTCAGGTTCTGTCCCAGTCTAGCCTAACCGTCTCTTAGGAATATAACTTCCTATTCTCTACTCGCAATATTTCATGTTAATATTTGCTTTACAATAAAAACTGTATATTAAAATATAACTAATTACACTACACAAGATTTCATGGTAACATCTGGTAGTTATACAGATAGTCTAGAAATGCCCTATTTATGTTGAACCTAATCACAGCCTTCAAAAAGTCCCCCGTTTGATAATATCCGGAACCAATTAAATTTCAAATGTACTTAAAGGTACCAGTGTCTTATTCATCTGAGATATTTTTATTAAACTTTTGTAACGATTTCTTGTACCTCCCATGATTGTTGTGTGTCATATACGAATTTCTTTTTTAATTAATTACCATAGTGTTATTAAGCAAGAAGAAAGAATCATGAATCTTTATTACGTAATATTTTCTAGTTACGCTATTTTTCTTAAGTACAAATATTTTATTTCGGGCTTTGTTTTCTGACAGTCACAACCTGTGCTCTTTGAAATTTACATTCATATATAGAATAACGATTTTGGAACTGTAATTGTCTCTGAAAGCTTTTAAGGGAAAAAAAAATGTTGATATTTTGTACGTTCTAAGTGGGAGAAGGGACAGGATTATGTAAATATTATATAATGAGAAGCTTCGTACGTAGGAGGACCATAGGAGGTCTCTTTTGTTCGGCAAAGCAGGAAAAAATGTAAAGAGAAAATTTGTTGCAAATCACATGTTTATGATTTTGTGAGATGAGCGGTTACGGCGTACAATCTTTACATTATCAAAACTAAAATAAAAATGACAGCGATGTAGCGACCCTTTCCTATAATTAGCCAGAATTCGTTTTATCACCTGAGCAACTGATAGCTTCTTCAAAGGAATCCAGCGCCACAGAAGAAGATAAAATTAATTGAAACTAATTATATCAGTCATTTCGAGTGGTTTTGAAGTTTGGTCCTTTGCTATGGGAGGAACAGATAGTAAAGAATTTGAGGTGAATATCTGAAGTCACTTAACTTAAAGGAAAACAAAGGATATTAATAAAGAAATCAGGGTGTAACAATTAACCATTATTTCAGACTTTCAGTCTGTTGGAAGAACGTTCTTACTGCTTTGTAGTCGATATTTTTGCAACGGTATATATATGGTGAGGAAATTGACTTTCCCACTCCACATAGTTCATACTTCCAGGGTCTGCATCAGAAAATGAAAAAAGTAGCTTATACTATCTCCACTCTTATATCGGAGAAAGATTAGGTTTCTAAATCTCCGTTTCAGTGAATGAAAATAGACAGCAAGGGATACACGAGATGCGCTTTTGTTTAGGTTCGTTATGAAACATCTAACCTCAAACCTTGAGTAGTAGAATTATCAGTTTGTATCATCGAAACAGATTTATTGAAGTGTATTTCAGATAATTATCCTTATTCCCTGCATTAACGAAAGATCGTATATTTTTTCAGTTATTCCAGTCTCAGCATCTTCTTCTTCTTCTTCTTCTTCTTCTTCTTCTTCTCCTTCTCATTCTCCTCCTCTCTCTCTATCTGATTTATGGAGTAAGTAAGTAAGTTAGTTATTCCAGGATTATGAAGGAGATGACATTCGTGTGTTGCCATCAAAATGAGTCCATACAGTGATTTCACTTTCTAAGGGAAGGCGAATCAAAGTGACATAATCTGATAAACGGGAAAATGTATCCATAAAATAGTTCCTGTCTGTCTCTGACTGTCCAATAACAATAAATTACGATTATTTTCGTGTTATTGATTGGGCCCACTATGTTTTATACTCTAGGTCTGTTGGAAGGTTAACATTAAAATGGATGTTGTAAACAAAACATAGAAATAAATAAAAGAAAAAATGGCTTTCGAATGACAAGTAGATGCAGTACAGATGGAATTTTTGGTAATTGTATTTACTAATAGAGTCCATAACAGTAGAAAATTCATTGAAAAGGTGAATAGGAACACTTAAAAATAATTTTTGTTATAATTTAATTCCACTTATATATTAATATATGACTGTACAATTTAGAAAGCAACCCAACAGGAATACTGCACCGCGGTACAAGAATAAATTCAGATGCAAATTTAGCCTATGTAATACATTCTCCTACAGAACGTGTGTTTTCCCCAGATATTAGTCTCTGTTCAGACACTCGTTGGGGAGGCAGTACGCTGAATGGAATATTACAGTAGATGTAGAGGTTAATAAGAATCTAATATTAATTTATTTCAACCTGTTTATGGGCTCGGTGCCTGCAAGATTCATAATAAAGCACACATGGCTCAGCTGTCTGTCGACTTAATACGGGACGCGAGGCACCAATATTGCAGTGTAATCGCATTCCAATATCAGGTAGGTCAGTGATCCGTAACAGCACGCAACCGCCCTCTGAGCACACGCTACAGAACGCGTGAAATCGGAGACAGCATTGGTTTCCGGTCGCCATTGGTCCGCTGCAGCACTCGAAGCGTCCAGTTTTGAAACTACCGATTCATATTTCCAGAGTTTCCACGTTCTGATTTCCACACGGTGACCAGCAATCTCGATTTAGGCATTTTTACTCTCTTTGACATTTCAGAGAAATTACAGAATCGTACGTTAAATGAACCACGACAGTCTCTTAATGCCTTAACTTATCATAAATAACCTTATCATTTCATGCTGTTTGTCAGCTTAAATTGTATACAACGTCATGTCCAAGTGCTTCATATTCTGGAGGTCTTGGTTTCAAATCTCTGTCCGGTGGCCGTGTGTTTTCAAAGATATCCTAGATTTTTCCCAGTCCTTACAAGAAGTTGCAGAGACAATACCTTAAATTAGGCGATTACTAGTTTCTTTTATTTCTGTAAGATGTT